ATTTTCAGTTGGCCTAACGAACATATTTATGAATATATTTTGAGTACTTTTGATTCATATTTAGCTAAAATCAAACTCAATTAAAGTTCATGCACGCTCCATTTGCTTGACTTTCTATCTCTCTCTCTCTCTCTTTGTTTCCCTCTCTCTCTGTGTCTGGGTGTGTGTTCATGATTCTATCATGCCTTGCCACTCGCACATATATATTATATCTACCCTATATTAACGTAATTATCATTGTCATTATCATTAACATTAACATAAACAATATCAATCGTTGCTGTTGTTGTTGTTGTTGTTGTTATTACTACTACTATTGTTGTTGTCGTTGTCGTTGTTGTTATTTATTTTGTTAACATCCCTCTCCAACTCCTCTCAACTCGGACACTCATCCCTCATCGATTGAATACCCTCGCCGTATGGGTATATCTATGTATTTGGGGAAAACAACAAACAAACAAACAAACAATATATATATATATACGTATATAAAACCGTATAACTACAGTCGACAAGAGAAATGCGAATGATGTTTGCTCGATTGCAAAATTAATGGAACCGGAGCTGGCAGCGGTCGCCGCTGCCTCATTACCTACTACGGCTACAAAAGCAAAGACAATGAAAATAAAATCCGCAATGGCCATGCCCGTGCCCGTGCCCGTGCCCGTGCCCGGGCCCAGGCCCGTGGCATCCCCCACGTGCTCTTTGGCAGCACATTCCCCAACATCCGCTGCATCCGTCGCGCTGCTGATGCTAGAGGCAACCACGACCAGCAGCGCTCACGATGGCAATCGCAATGACGAGTCAAAGTTCACCTTTCGCTCAGGTAAGTCGATTGAGACTCATATACTTGCCCGCATCCGCACCAGCACCAGCACCAGCGCCACTCCGACTCCTGCTCCTGCACCCGCACCACTCCGACTCCTGCTCCTGCTCCTGCACTCTCACTCCTACTCTCACTTAAGCCATTTCAATCTTACGTTTTCCTTACTTTTCATCTGCCATTTCCGCTCAGTATTTTTAATTGGAGCAACGCACAGACGCTCCATCAGCTCCATCAGCACTCGTATTAACATTTAACCCGCATGCCCCCACCCACTCGACCTCCAGTTGCACTTGAATCTGTCCGGATTGCTCCCTGACTTGGCCTATTTAAGTTATTTTCAGTTTAGCACCTCCCCCTCTCCATCCTCCTCCCACCCGTAAGCAAAACTTTTGCCTGCCCCAAAGCCTTTCACGTTGCACTTGTTTCAGTTTCTGCTCGTTCGTAGTTCTGTGTGTTAGACATTGGCATGCATAAAAAGGGCAGCCGGCTGGCGACATGTCGGCTGGAGTATGTGTTGCAAGGGGCGGGCGAGGGGAGGGTATGTGTAGGTACATAAATAGTAGCCCACGGGGCGGGCGGCTAGCTGCTAACTGCGCGTAGTATCTCTCGAGAAGGACACCGTCCTCGCTTTTCCACGGCTTGAGCTTAGCGCGGCACACAACGGGACATGCTGCATCCAGCTAACTGTATTGGTCTCTTGCAGAGGCGGCCATGAAGCTACGCGAGGAGAACGAGCGCCTGAATGCGGAGCTGGTGCGTCTGCGCCGGCTGCTCGAGCACTCGACGGACGGCGCTGTGGGTGGAGCTGATCCCGGAGCGGACTTGGCGGCACACGATGGCAACAGCGCGATGGCGTCGCAGGAGCGCGTGGAACGACTGGAAACGGAGCTGCGCAGCGTGAAGAATCAGCTGCTCACCATGCGGCTGGAGCGGAAGAAGCTGCGCACAGACAAATCGGATCTGCTGGGCCAGGTGAAGCAGCTGTGCGCCTCGCTGCAGGAGAAGGAGCAGGAGCTGCGCGACTTCATACGCAACTACCAGGAGCGTGTGCGCGAGACTGAGTCAACCAACGCCAAGATCTCGGGTGATCGCGACCGAGAGCGCTTCCAGCTGCTGAAGCAGGCGCGCGACGAGGCCGAGCGCTCCCTGGCCCTGGCCCAGCAGCTGTCGGCGCGGGATCTGCAGCTGCAGCGCCTGCAGGAGCAGCTGCAGGAGGCGCGCCGCCAGCTCACCGGCTGCCTCTCCGACCAGGAGAGCCTGCATTCATTTGCGCCGCTGACGCCGCCGTCGGCTGCCTCGGGCATGCTCAGCCAGCTGGCCGGCGGCTCTGGGCTGGCGGGCAACCTGAGTGGCATGCGCACAGCCGACGACAGTGGGCGTGGCAACTCGAATTCACTGTCCGCCTTCAGCGGCAGCCTGAGCGGCGGCTCTGGCGCCACAGTGGGCGACCGCAACTCCTGCTCGAACGACTCGGGCCTGCGCAACAGCAGTGATCGGGAGAGCACCGGCGGCGAGCTCAACTTCAGCGACGGCACTTGCGACAACGGACCCTGCATCACCGTCGATCCCGACAGCATCTCTCTAGTCTCCAGCCAAAATATGTATCAATGTGGGTGAACGAAGATTGGAGCAAGCTTTGCCTTTGTCTAATCCGAATTTCTGTATCTCTTGCAGTTGGCACTCCCAAGGAGCGCAGCCCCACACTCTCGCCCCTCAATTCCGGCGCCTACTCCAGGTAATTGTGTGTGGATGTGACAGTCTCTAGTTTGCCCACTCACCTCTCTCTCCCTCTCTCATCTCCCCTCAGATCTGTGGAGCAGCTCTCGCCGGACGCCGAGGGACCCGGCGGCGCTGGCGCCATGACCCGCAAGTTCGGCAACAAGAGCGGACCACTGGGCGCACGCAACGGACGCGGCGGCACCTGGGGCAGCATCTCGCGCGTGTTCGCACGCTCCAGGAACAAGAGCAAGGCCATGTCCGCCGACGGGGTGAGCGAGTACAGCGACTACTCGTGGAACCCGCTGTCCGAGGAGGGCTACGCCGAGAAGCTGCGCCTGCTGCGCGAGGCCTCCCAGCTGCCCATCGAGCGCTGGCGGGCCACTCAAGTGCTCGCCTGGCTGGAGGTGGCGCTGGGCATGCCCCAGTACAGCGCACGCTGTGCGGAGAACGTCAAGAGCGGCAAGGTGCTGCTCGAGCTGAACGACGTGGAGCTGGAGGCGGGCCTGGGGCTGGCGCATCCCATGCATCGCAAGAAGCTGCGCCTGGCCATCGAGGAGCAGCGCCGGCCCGAGCTGGTGCGCTATCCGCTGATCACCCAGCTGGGCCACACCTGGGTGGCCTCCGAGTGGCTGCCGGACATCGGCCTGCCCCAGTACGCGGAGCCCTTCCTGCAGTCCCTGGTCGATGCGCGCATGCTGGACACCCTCTCCAAGAAGGAGCTGGAAAAGTTTCTGGGCGTGACGCGAAAGTTCCATCAGGCCAGCATAGTACATGGTAAGCTCGAAGCCCGAAGCTCCTCATCAGTTCATCTGGCTAATGCATTGCTCTCACTCCTAGGCATTCACGTCTTGCGCATTGTCAAGTACGACCGGCAGACGCTGGCCATGCGGCGCGTGCAGTCGGAGACTGTGGACACCGATCCCATTGTGTGGACCAACCAGCGCTTCATACGCTGGGTGCGCTCCATCGACCTGGGCGAGTATGCGGATAACTTGAAGGGTGAGTTGCCAGTGGAATCAATGGATATATGTATATCTGTTGCATAATAATAATGAATGTGCCATTGGCTTGAGCACACTTGTGCCGTCCGTGTCCAGTTTCAATGCAATCCCACTCAATTCGTGTGCACCGTTCCCATTGCAGACAGCGGCGTTCATGGCGGTCTGGTGGTGCTGGAGCCATCATTTTCGGGCGATACCATGGCAACGGCTCTGGGCATTCCGCCGTCGAAGAACATAATACGACGGCATCTAAACACGGAATTCGATGCTCTCATCCTGCCCGCAAGGTGAGTGTGTGTGTGTGTGTGCGTTCTCCCCCAGCATCATCCGTGGGGCACAGTCGCATCATGCGTGATGGGGCTTGTGTCCATCCCCCTTACATAGAGCCCTGTATTTTGGTCTCGGTTTCAATTGCGTTGCCGAGCACCCGCCTCCCACACTCTCTATCTCTCTGTCTCTCTCTCTCTCTCTCTCTCTCTCTATCACATCTACTGTACTATGCATAAGTATGTAGCGTTAAACAGCGTTTTGATTCCTTTTTACCCCATTCGATTGGAATTTCTATTGTTTCGTTCACATTTGATTGGTTTTTGGTTTTTCGTTTTTGTTGATTCCGGATTTTTGCTTTTTCCCTTTTTGTCTGCATTATATTATAGCCATTGTCATCATGTACATGCTCGTAACTCGAATTGTTTACCGCTATATTGTGCTCATTATTCTGTTGATTTGAGTTGATATCATATCATTACTGCATGCTCCATCATGAACACAATCATCCACATCATCATCCAT